AATTTAAAAAAAGAAGATACAGAAGAATTGAAATAGGCAAGGCAAAACTACATTTTTTAGGAATACATTCATAGGTAGTTCCACATGACTTTACATACATGTGAAATCTTAAGAAATAAAAACAAAAACAAAAAGACCGAACTCGTAGATAAAGAGAATAGACTGGTGGTTGCCAGAGGTAGGGGACAGGGAGTGGGCAAGTGGGTGAAAGTGATCCAAAAGCACACACTTCCAGTTATAAAACAAGTAAGTCGTGGGGATATAATGTACAGCATGGTGACAGTAGTTAACAATGCTGTGTTGTATATTTTAAAGTCGCTAAGAGAGATCTGAAAACTTCTAGTGTCAGTGCCCCAGCATTGCAACTGAGCCCCAGCTGGTATGACTCTGGACTGAGTGCTGGCCTGTGAATCAAAGGGTCGCTGGTTCAATTTCCACTCAGGGCACATGCCTGGGTTGCAGGCCAGGCTCCAATTGGGGGCGCATGAGAGGCGACCATACACTGATGTTTCTCTCCCCCTCTCCCTACCTTCCTCTCTCTCTAAAAATAAATAAATAAAATCTTTTTTAAAGAAATTAACATTAGATTACACTACCCAGACTGTTTTGTGGTCTTTTTTCACTTTTGAATTATGTCATAAATATATTTATTCAACTACTATATTAAATATAAAATGTTGTTACCTTAATTTGATGTTAGTTTACATGCACATTATATAAATATAAATTTATTAAATATTCTTAAATCTGTGTGAAATACTGTCAAATATGTTGTGAATATATACATTAAATATTCTTCTATGACATAGCTGCTTAGTTTTTCTTATATCGTTTTCCCTGTTTTTAAAAATTCAAGTTATTTCTCATTTGTTCATTATTATATTTCTAACACTGCAGATGTAAACATACCTTGTACTGCGGTCAAGTCTTTGCTTCACTCATACCTTATTTCCATAGAATAAAGATTTAATTAAATTGATGGATCTAAGAGTATTCATAACATTATAATTTCTATGATGTGTAAACAAACTGGCCGCTAAGAGGTGAAATCAGTTCACACCCCCACAGGCAGTGGGTGAAAGTGCCCTGAGCCAGGACATTAGATTTTTTTTAGAGACTTGCTCCCTTCATTTGGAGGGTGGCAGTTGCTGCCAGTTGGGAGGGGAAGACAAACACTGGAAACCATTCCAGGACTTGGCTTCCTTCAGCTGGAATCGAAAGTACTGTCAACACTGTCAGGAGCTGCTTACTTGCTCCTCTTCCAATAAGAAGCTACACAGGTGGTAAGAAGGTCAACTTGGCTCTTAAATTACTACAGAAGCTTTAGGTGGTGGTCTGTCCAACTCCCATCCCATCAGCTACCCCAAGCGTCTCCCCCTACTCCCTAAGAACAAGAACCCTGCCACGGTGATTAACAGACTGATCTTCTGGACTGCCAGAAATTAGTTCAATATAAATATCCCCCATCAAAAACACAATATAAGTTATAAAAAAACTCAAAGATTATTAAAATGTAGAGTGCAGAAAGTGTAGATCCAACCCCATCCCACTTCTGGGACAAACACCAACATTTGGGATTATTTCACACACATGCACAACCCACATGGATACATGTATGTATATGTACATATATAAATTTGCTTTTACAAAGATTTGATACTATATATGCTACTGTCTATCTTTTTACTTAATAACTACACAGCTTTCCATGTAGATAAGAAGTTGATGACTTAGAGATTTTGTTGAAGTGATTCATTAACAGGAAGATCAATGTTTTGTTTATCCTGTCCAGCAGATCTAACTAAATAAATGTTTAGAGGCTTCCGGTGTTACACAATAGTGTAGTCAGTGGAGAAAACTCCTAAACATTCATCAAGAATTCTCACTCTTTTGAGTTCCAGTCGGCAATTTAAATTGATTCTTGTTCCTACTATGATAAAAAACCTCCCCCTAAAACATCAGGAAAACAGCCTTTACACTTCACATAATTTTTGTTTGTTTGTTTCTTTTTTTTTTTTTTTTAATTTTCAGCCTTCCTGCTTTTTTTTTTTAAGGTTTTATTTATTTATCTTTAGAGGGGAAGGGAAGGAGAGAGGGACAGAAACATCAATGTATGGTTGCCTTTCCTGCGTCCCCTGCTGGGAACTGGCCTGCAGGGAACCTGTCTGCAACCTGGGCATGTGCCCTGACTGGGAATCGAACCGCGACTATCTGGTTCGCAGGCCCGCACTCAATCCACTGAGCTACACCAGCCAGGCATATAGTTTTTTAAACATATAATTGTAATCATTAGTAGTAAGCAGTAAAAGTGAAATTATATGAAAAGCCCCATATTTTACATGTTTAAATTATTTTTTATTGTCTTTACTTTTAAGGTGTTGAAGGTGGGATCCACTCTTTCTAGGGGAAGAGTAAGGTACATATTGTCCTGGAGTATCACACACCTTGAAATTATGGTTCCTCCACATGGATTTATGAGCAGTAGATGGTTTTGTTGTTGGAGGATCATCAGGCACACAGTGAAGCCAACAATGCCACTCAGAGAGCACCAAGATTCCATCTACAACCCAGCATGTGTTTCTGACATTCATTTCCGTAGCATATACTACCTATCAGTGATGGCCCAAAAACTGCTTACTGTCTTCATAGTTATGTTTCCATATTTATCTTCCCCCACTAATGTACCAACACTCACGTCATCTGCCCTGAGGACAGTTCACAGGTAGCAGCCCTCAACGTGCTGCAGTCCACATTTCAGGACCTGCAGGAACTTCAAAAAGAGGTATACTCTAGGTGCTCCAGGGACAATAATGAGGGGTACTCCCTAGGCTAGAGATTCAGGCAGCCTTGCTGAAGCAGATAAAGCCCAAATTGATGCCAAGGAGAAATGTTTGAAATAATGGTACACAGGAAGGTAAATCACAAAGCATCATGACCCTCTAATATAGTGACTGGTTCTCAAAGTGTAGGTCCCAAATCACTAGCATCAACCAGCATCTGGGAACTTGTTACAAATGCAAATTATTGAGTCCCAGTCCAGACTTACCAAGTCAGAAACCCTGGGGGTTATGCCCAACAATCTGAACAAGCCATCCAGCTGGCTCTGGGGCACGCTAAATGCTAACTCTGTTCTAAAGGAAAATCCTACCTTATCAAAACCAAACCGAAAACTTTCTCAGTTAGAGCTTCACAAAAAGATGCTCCAATGCCTATGTCTATTCCAGAAGAGGGACTGTGCAAGCCAGAGGCAGCTCTGCCCTGTGAATTATACCAATACTTCCCTTCACGGCTTTCTCACCCTGACTTCCACCACTCCACATCATCTCCATTTCCCTTTATGTACTGATTTTTTTTTAGAAAGAGAGAGAGAAATTTGTTGTTCCACTTATTTATGCATTCATTGGTTGAGTATTGTACATGTCCTGACTGAGGATCAAACCCACAACCTTGGCTTATTAGGACCAGTCTCCGACCACCTGAGCAACCTGGTCAGGGCTCCATTCCCTTTTAAAATTCCAGTTCAAATGTGGGACAAAATTTCCATTCCCTGTTAATCCTTAGCACAATAAGGTAAACTGAAATTTTCTAAAGAAGTTAAATAGTGATTTGAATGTTGAAAGGACATTCAATGCTCAAATCACTATTTTGTGACTTGGTCTGGGGATGAGTCAAGGAATCTAAGAGAACAGTTGTGAAATTAGCAGGCAGCAGCCCCATGGAGGGAGACATGACACCGTGTAGGCAGGAAGCCAGGAGAGGCACCTGCTCATGGTAACAACTCCAGTAATCTTCTCAATTATTTCCCTAGTACCTTCCTAGACAGGTAATATAACAGGCACACTATAATAGATATACACCAGTCATGGCGTGTTCTAGGCTAAGTAATATTCGCCAAAGATATCAGGTCCTAATTCCTGGAAACTATAATTGTTATCTTATATGGCAAAGGCTTTGTAGGTGTAATTAAGTTAAAGATCTTGAGATAGGGAGATTGTACTAGATTATCTGGGTATGCTTTAAAAGAAATCACAACTATCCTTATAAGAGAGGCAGAGGCAGATTTGAATATCAACAGAGGAAGAGAAGGCATCTTCTGCCTTCTCTGCCCAGAATAGCTGACTCAGCTTCTACCCCATACTTGGAGCTGCAGTAGACTCCTCCATAGAAAGCAATTTTTCCCAGCATGCTGGAGACTTCAACAATCACTCCCCCCCCACTCTTATCGACAAGGGAGGCATGTTCAAGGTCACTACTATCAAACCAATGAGGATAACTTTGAGGACATTCACAAAAGGCCTCAGTCTTCTATCATTCACTGTAGCCAATTATGGGAAAGTGCGTGCATTGTGGACCAGGCCCCAGTGTCCTAAAACAGTAAGTCAGAGCACGAGTTGATTTGCAGAAAACAATGACAGGCTGCTTAGCTTCCTAATGAAAACGTCTAAAAATGCTAGACAAAATATATTTTTAATCTTCTTAACTGCATCTATTAATTAACAAAAGTAAAGAAAGTTCAGATCAAAAAACTAAGAGAAGACACAGAGAGAATAAACACAACACCAATGTTGGCTTTTGATTTGAGGGAATCTGCTAACCAATGTGCACTTGAACTTCAGTATTTATAGCCTGAAAAAACATATGCATTAGGAAGATATAGAGTCCTGGGCCCATATAATATAGAGAATCTAATAAAAGACACTTTCTTCATTAAGCTGAGATCCTAAATAGCTATACTACCAATTTAAGGGTGAAGGAGAAAATCCCTCCTCAAGACAAAGTAAAACTGTCTTGAACTTTGGTATGGAGGGAAGGGGGAAGAACCATCCCTGAAGAATTGTAACTACAAACCATCCATCTTTAAAGTTTGCAGCCAAATTCACACTGTCTAGATGGTCCAAAAAACCTTGAGCCAAGAATTAAGTTCAAGGTAGCCATGGATTCTGAGTGCCACCCGGCACCTGATAAAAGCAAACATACATCCTTTCTGGAGAAATATATTTTTTAATATGAAACACTTCACAAATTTGCAGGTCACTCTTATGCGGGAACCATGCTAATCTTCTCTGTATCATCCCAATTTTAGTATATGTACTGCCAAAGCAAGCACTGGAGAAATCTTTATGTCAGGCCTTACGGAATCACCAGAGTTACTACAAAAGCAGCAATGCATTGTCCCAAATCACTAAATACACACACAAAAAAGCATCATTTGCAATAACCAGTAGAAACAAAAAGGCAAAAAAAACTCACAAAGACTTTAGATATCATAATATAAAATATGTGTGCTAAATATAACTTTAAAATAAAAGAGATTGAGACTTCCAGCCAGGATGGAGGCGTGGGTGGAAATACTGTACCTCCTTGCACAACCAAATTTAAGGACAACAAAGATTTAGAAACAAAAACACAACCAAAAGAGACAGAAAATTGAACTGTAAGGAAGTCTGACAACAAACAATTCATCTAGACCTGTAAGAAGGGCAGAGTCTGTGGCAGGCGGAGAGGGGTCCCGGCAGGGAAAAGCAGTGGCTGCCAGACCAACCCAGGCGTGCAGGCTGTGGTTGGCAGATCCCAGGCATGGGGTGGCAACAGGCAAGACCCAGTGAGGGTGCAAGGTGGCTGGCTGACCTCGGTCACACATTCACACACAGATAAACCAGGTGAAAAAAGGGACAGTGAGACAGACCGTGCAATGCAGGGCCCCAGCACCAGGAAAGAAAGCCTAAAAGCACCGATTAAAAAAACTTTCAGGGGTTGAGATGTCAGGAGAGGCTCCCAGCCTCACAGGAGAGTTCGTTGGAGAGACCCACAGGATCCTACAATGTACACAAGCCCACCCACCCAGGAACCAGCACCAGAAGGGCCCAATTTGCTTGCGGGAAGTGGCAGAGGGAACCAAAATCCAAAAGAGAGTGGAACAAACACCATTTCTCCTTCTCTGACCCTGCCCCCAGTCACAACCCAGCGAATGGATTGACCTGCCCTGATAAACACCTAAGTTTTTGCCCCTCGTACCTAACAGGCGTGAATAGACCAAAACATTATGGCTCAAGCAGAAGAACAGCTCAAAGCCCCAGGGCCAATATTTCTAAGCGACAAAAGAGATAGCCAGCCTATCAGATGCACAGTTCAAAACACTGGTAATCAGGATGCTCACAGAACCGGTTGACTTTAGTCGCAAATTAGATGAAAAAATGAAAGCTACACTAAGTGAAATGAAGCAAAATGCAAAGGAAACTAATGGTGATGGGAAGGAAACTGGGATTCAAATCAATGGAGTGAACCAGAAGGAAGAAAGAAACATCCAACCAGAAAAGAATGAAGAAATAAGAATTTTAAAAAATGAGGAGAGGCTTAGGAACTTCCAGGACATCTTTCAATGTTCCAACATCCATATTATAGGGGTACCAGAGGGGAATAAGAACAGCAGTGAATGGAAAAGTTATTTGAACAAATCATATAGGAGAACTTCCCCAATCTGGCAAAGGAAATAGACTTCCAGGAAGTCCAGGAAACTCAGAGAGTCCCAAAGAAATTGGACCCAAGGAGGAACACACTAAAGTACATCATCATTACATTAGCCAAGATTAAAATGGAGAGAATTCTAGAAGCAGCAAGGGATAAGGGGACAGTAACCTACAAAGGGGTTCCCATCAGACCATCAGCTGATTTCTCAAAAGAGACCTTATAGGCAAGAGGCTGGAAAGAAGTATTCCAAGTTATGAAAGGCAAGGAACTACATCCAAGGTTGCTCTATCCAGCAAAGCTTTCATTTAGAATGGAAGGGCAAATAAAGTGCTTCTCAGATAAGGTCAAGTTCAAGGAGTTCATCATCACCAAGCCCTTATTATATGAAATGTTAAAGGGACTTATTTGCCCTGGCTGGTGTAGCTCAGTGGATTGAGCATGGGCCTGTGAACCAGAGGATCGCAGTTCAATTCCCAGTCAGGGCACATGCCTGGGATGCAGGCCAGTTCCCAGCAGGGGACACACTAGAGGCAACCACACATTGATATTTCTTTACCTCTCTCCTTTCCTTACCCTCTAAAGATAAATAAATAAAATATTTTAAAGGGATTTAGCTAAGAAAAAGAAGATATAAATATGAACAGTGAAAGGACAGCAAACTTACAGTTACCAACAACCACACCTAAAACAAAAGCAAACTAAGTGGACAGCTAGATCAGGAGCGGAACCACAGAAATGGAGATCACTTGGAGGGTTAGCAATAGGGGAGTGGGAGGAAGAGAAGGGGGAAGAAGGTACAGAGAGTAAGTAGCATAGACGGTAAGTATAAAATAGACAGAGGGCGGGTAAGAATAGTAGGGGAAATATAGAATGTAAAGAACTTTAGACATGTGGACATGAACTAAAGGGGAGTAATGGGGGGCAGGGGTGTGCAGGGTGGAGGGGAATGAAGGGGGGAAATGGGACAACTATAATGGCATAATCAATAAAATATATTAAAAAAAAAGAGATTGCAAATATAAATAAAGAACATGTCTATTGAGTTTTCTGTCCATTTTGAATTGATTTGTTTTTCTTGCAATTAAGATATAAGTGTTCTAGCCCTTACCAGGGTGGCTCAGTGTGTTGGGCATTGTCTTCCAAAGCAAAAGGTCACTGGTTCAACTGGTCCCTGGTCACTGGTCCCTGTCAGGGCACATTCCTAGATTTCAGGCCAGTCTGGTTGGGGAGCATGCAAAAGGCAACTGATGGATGTTTCTCTGACACATCAATGCTTCTCTCCCTCTCTTTCTCCCTCCTTTCCCCTCTCTTTAAAAATAAATAAATAAAAACTTTTTAAAAAAGATATAAGCATTCTTTGTATGTTCTAGATACAGTCTTTTATCAAACATTTTTTAAATATTTTTTAATATTTAAATCTCAGAGCTCACCACAGATCTAGCAGCCAGTTCTCAAGGTCTTTTATTTATCCTCTTCAGACCTCACTGCAATAGTTATCATTTTCTTTTTTTTTTTTTTGCCTTTTTATTAGCTTCCATATTTTCTTTTTTTAAAATTTTAATTGAAAACAGAAAACTGTACTTGAACAGCATTTCTTATTTTAAGTGACTTTATCTGATTATCAGATTCCAACTTGGCCTTGGGTAGAGAAAAAGATTGCTTTCAGATTGTGCCATGCCTTTACTGGAACCAGTCCATGGCTCCCTGTCACCCATAAGACAAAATCAAAACTCCTCAGCTTGCTACGTAATAATAGTGAACAGCAATGCAGGACTTAGCTTGTGCCAGGCACTGTTCAAAGCAACACGTATATACACATGTGATCCTCACACAACAACCTCTTGGGGTATGTACAATTATTATGTCCATTTTCAAATGAGGAAACTGAAGCATAAATTAAGGTAAAAATTAAGTGAATTGTCCAAGGTCAAATAGATAGCAAGTAGTAAAGGCAGGATCAAATCTAGAGTATCTCCCTAAAGAAGCCTCTGTCTAAACACAGCACCAAACTACTTCCCCTGGAAGACCTTGTACGGGCTGACCCTGGCCTACTTTTCCCACCTTGGCTCCTGCCTCTCCCAGTCAGAAGCCACCATTTGATACTTCTGACTTCCCAATTTGGGAACATCTTCTGTTGAGGTCAAGGAAATTGAGAACATAGTCTGAGCACAGCAAAACAGGAATAAGGAACAGCTGCTGTGGCCAACAGGAACTGAGAAAGGATGTAGAGTGCAAACAAAGACTGAGCAAAAATCCTGCATTATGTGAGTGCCCTACTTAGAGCAAAATAGGCAGACTGTAATCTGTTTAGTTTTGAATTTTGAAATTTTCTACTTAGCTGTTAAGTTAGACCCCACCCCGTTCCCACTCGCGGTCTCTGTAAGCAAACAGCTAACTGCCACGTCTGCTTCTGTTTAACGCTTGCTTGCTTGCCCCTATATAAGGACTTAGCTATAAGTGCTCGGCGGCGCGACTCTCATCTGCAGCCCTTTTGGGCACTGTGCCTCTGGACACCGCAAGAGTTCTCCCCTGTGCAGGTTAAGCTTGGCCAATAAAATAAGATCAAAACCCTGAAAGGTCTTCGAAAATTATTCTCGCGTCCAGTGGATATAACACTTCCTCCCTTGACTTCTGAGATACTCTATTCTCCTGCTTCTGCTTCTGTCACAGGCCTTTCCCTTTCTCCCCCTCCACTCCTCCTTTCCCTCCTATACCCTACAGGCAACATTCTGTCCCAGAATCCTCCCTGCCTGCTCTACCCTCGCCAATCTCATCCCCTGTTAAGGCTTCAACTCTCACCTCCACATAGCTACCCAAATCTATACCTCTGACCTGACCATTTTCTAAGGCTGTCTCCTACATTTCAAATTTCCTTAAGTATTCTCCAGCCAGATGTTTAGCCAGATATTTAACATATGCAGGACAGAACCCATCATCTTCTCTCTTAAAACTGCTTCTCCTCTAGTATTCCCAATTTCTATTTGTATTACTTTTTAATATGAAGGCTGTGACATTTTTCTTCCTTGCCCCATTCATTCCCTCAGGAGGCAAGGCTGGAAAGTCTAGCTCTCTAGTATCTGGAGCACCTATCCCCTCCTCTTCATTCCTACGGCCACATGCAGATTTCAAGCCTTTAACACTCAGTACCTCTTGCCTGACCTGTCATGGACCCCCTCAATACCTCCTCAGTGGCAGTCTCTTGCCCTCAACACAGTCTTGTTAATTTTCCCAAAGCACAGCTCTGTTGATGTCACTACCTGAAAAGCATCTAACTTACTAAATAAAATCTAACTCTGAAACATTAGTTCTTCTTGGGTATATGTGACCCTCCATGATCAGGCCTCAACCTCATCTCCCCCGCTCCGCCCACTCACACAGCTTATGTTACAGCGAAATCAAACAGCTTGGTGCTTTCCATTTATTTGTGTTCTGCTCTTCGCACGCTCCACGTCTGTGCTCTCACTATTCCCTTTGACTTAAATGCCCTTTTGCTCATCTGCGCAAGTCAGATACTACCTGTCCTGCAAGGCTTGGCCAATCACATTTCCTCCATATAAATTCTCTGAATCATCAACTAGCAAGTCTGTTTTCCCATAACAATCTATTCATATCTCTCCCATGTAACTCATTCCTCCAACT